ATTTTTTTATCATATAAACCTAATCTAAAACTTACCACTCTACCACTGTGAGGTTTTATTTAAAGCCAATGTTATGGGTAGTAAAAGAACAAACATCAAATGATCCTGTATTTGAAAAATAAAAATGTTTAATCATTACCAAAAAATGTTTGTATTTAAGCCAGCAAACACAAACACGTGTGTGCATGCGTTAAATTTATGTATACTTAACAATTTAAATTGGTATCAGCTATAGCAGGTGTAAAGAGAGAAATAAAATATTGTTCCTACCTTTTATAGCGTCAATAAAGCCAGATAAGTCTTTAAATGGTGTATATTGTATCAATTTCTCCCCTTACCCAACCATATGTAAAATGTACCTTATTACCCAACCCCTCTGATAATCATTGGAGCAGTTTCTGCTATAAAGTAATTCTTAACTGACAGTGATAGCAAGCCAGATAGTTTTACCATTAACACCCATAAAGAAAATTAATGGCTAAAGAAGAAATTATTATCTTGAGATATGTATATTGTACAGGTTGTACTGACAAATGGGGAGGGAGGGGTAAAATATTTTATAAGTAATTTTGTGGCAGAAGTAGTTGTGATAAAACTCATCCACATTTAATAGGTAAGGTTTTAGCATCAGAATTTTTTTCTTGTGTCCACAAACTTATTAAATTTATTTTATTTAGGTGTTATCAGCCAAATAAAAACTTTCACTAAACAGGCTAGTATAAAATATCCATGAATACTTTCTAGGTCTACTTCTAAACTAAGATCAGAATTTTTATATGAATGGATAAATAAGTCCATAGGCAGACATGTAATTATGAGTTTTCATTGCAGAATTCTTTTAGAAGGAGTACACTGACAAGAAGATTATGTTGGAAAATAAAATAAATGAAAGTGTACTAAATATTCTCTCTTCATTAAGCTACAAGCTTATTAATGCATCTGTGTATTTCTCTAATAATATTTGCTTAGAATGACATGACACAATGCAACAACAATCTCTCTAAAATGTGGCTGAGGGTCTGGAGTTAGAGTTCCCATGGGGGCTCCACATTTTGTTATGTGTTGATAATTGTAACAAAGGAAAAAAAAATGATTTACCAAAAACACAGAGCTAAATCACAAACAAATATTTAATTTACTAAAACACAACATAAAATATATACAAGATATACAATTGTGGCTTACAAAAAAACAGAAAACACAATTTATGGGCGAAGTGTTACAAGGGAGGAGGAAGGAGAGTCAAATATCTTTATCACTTTAGGGCTAGCAAAGTAATCTAAGTGCTATATTTGGAAATCCACAAAGGTGTGTAAATAAATATTAATTTTTAGATTGGTCAATGAAAATTAGTCAAAATTCTATTTACCAAATTTGTTCCATGAAATTCTCTTTTGGGTTTTTGTTGATCGGCAATGTTTTATAGAGATTCTTTTGACTGGATATAATAATCCTCAAATCAAAAGCCGGAGTTGATAACAGCAAAAATTCCCCTTCAACAACTGACAACCCTTTTCCAAAATTCCATTTTTATAGGGGCTAACACCTAATTTGCATATTTCTAGAGGTTTCGAATCATCTAGATTCTTCTCGAATATACTGGAATGATCTAGAATCTTCCAAACATTCTATTTCATATCTACTTCATGAAAGAAAACTTTTTTTTGTATTAACAGGTAGGACTCAGTAGAATCCCTTACTACAAATTTTAACCTTATTGAGACTTTCTTATTATAGAAATGCATCCTCATAACACTGGGCATGAACTGAGACTCCATTGGATTAAAATGTAAGCTTAATATTAATGCGTATGAAACAAAAATGTATGTGTAAATTTTGTTCATGTCTTACAGCTCTCAAACATCTGAACTTTATCCCATGTGGCTTTTATATTAAGCAAGTTTGGCCAGTCTTGTTAGATGTTATTAATTACAAAATTAATTTATTTAATATTACTTTAAATGTATATTACCAGAATTTAGTTGTGGATATAATAAACTACAAGGAAGACTTACATAATATCCTAGAGATTTTGTTATGCTAACTTTAATATTATGAGAAGACTATTCTTAATAGGAACGGTAGGAAAAAGGTGCCGAGAAGGTTGAATTCATGCTTCTTACCTTCTAAATTTAAAGTGACATTAACATTCATTATCAGAATTTAAACTATTTCCATTTTCAGTGTCAATATAGACTGCATAAAAATAATAAATTTTAAGCCTAAAAAGATTTGCAAAACAGTCATATGTAAAATCAGCATTAGTATTGTGTCTTAACTTGAAATATAAAAGAAAAGAAAAAAAATCATAAAAAATTACAAGTATAAATAATTTTTATATTTATCAAGGATTTCTTTGGTGGGTACAAATCTCAGCAATACCAATGGTCAATGTTCAAGCCTGGAGAAAAAAAAATTTAAATCATTTTCCAAGCAGCCAAGCCATTCTCTCTGGGAAAATTGATATAATGCTTCCTGTCATTTTTACCAGCATTTGACTTCCTATCAGAGCAAGTATTCGTGAACCTTTTTTCCCAACCAAGCAGTACCACCTGGAGACAGAGTTTCCAACATACAAAAATAGAAAAATCGCTTGGCATAAAACCAAACATTAAAAATTTATTTTCTTTGCCCATTTTGAGTTGCTATAAGAAAGGAAAAAAAAAATAACCAGAAAAATAAATAAATGAATATATATAAAAAATTTAAAAATGCTTTTTTTAGTGGATACCCATATTTGAGTAAACACTGTTTTATTAATCAGCATATTTATTTTCATCTACAGGACTGAATATTTGAGAAATCTTAGTAAAGAAAAAGATGCACCCACCATTAAGATTTCTTGAATATTAAGGCCAGTAGACTAAAATAAATACACTGTTTAATAAATAAAAAAAATTAATTACTTTAGGAATAAATGAGAGTTGAGAAAAAAATAATAGTAGCATGATCATGTAACTTAATTTCACTATATTCTTCAAGCAAGTGTTCTTGCAAACATTTTATTAAAAAAAAAAAAAAAAACATTTTATGTCTATTAAATTTAATGTGTGTGTGTGTGTGTGTGTGTGTGTATAATTTCAGCTAAGACTATCAAAACTAGAATCTTATCAAAATATAAATTTGTGTCCCAGATTTTTTTCAAATATTTGTTTCTTAAAAAAAAAAAAAAAAAAAACTACTCTTTTCCCAAACATACATGACTATAAAAATGTTTGGAAAAGTTAAATTCATAACCTGTAATTTAAAATATGATACATAAATCAATCCATAATTAAAAAAGATAAAATTTACTCACTTTTTTTGACATTAAATTACTTCATTTACCATCGTCCATAATTTACCTAAACTTTTCAGTTAGCCTGATGAATATTTATGAGCATTCCTTAAATTTTAAAATTTTGTAAAACTAACAACACTTCAGTTTATAAATACGTGTTGCGAAATAAAATCTTTACATTGCCTTAAAGTCCATCAAAGAATTAAACACATCAGCTAAGATGAGTTTTCATTCTCTCTCTCACACACTAGAGTTGGAAAGTTCTCAGCTCAACACTCTTAAATTCTGTTTGGTCATATTTTATCATTTGGTATCATGCAAATGTCTGTGTATTTTTGTTACAAACATAAATGGGAGGTGGTGAAAAGTTCTCAGCTTGACTTACTTTCCAAAATTAGTATTTCAATGACAAAAGATCAGAATAAGAATTTTGGTAAGTGGGGTCTGCATTGACAAACTGAATAAGATAAAAAAAATAAATAAATAATAATGAAAATGACAACTTTTCAAAATAAGTGCAAATCTGAATTTATACAGATCCAGTCCAGCAACTTTCATGAAGAAACATTTTTAGATGTAGACTCTCAAAGATTCATGAGATTCTTTGGTACATTAATTTTTTTTCTTTCTCATTAACGTGTTGTGTAGAGTTTTATCACAATGTTGAAACTTTAAAGTTCTTTATTATTTTACTGCATATTGCCTTTGAAAAGGATAAGAGGAATCATTCCTGCTTACTAGACATTCTACTGCTCAAAAATATTTGCAAATTCCTTACAATAGAGTATGTTGAAATCATACAAAACTATGGAACTTTTACTGGAGACTACAACTAATACCTTCATTATTATTACAAAAGCAATAAACAGAGAAATGAAAGAGTAATAAGGAAAGTTATAAAGAATATATTATGATATTTGTTTGTACATGGGTTTATTATTATAACATGACAAGAATAGCATATTGAAACAAGATTTGGGGCTCTAAATTAAAGAAAGAAATTGCAGTTTAATTTGTATATTAATAGTTTGAACTCTGATCCAATGTTTGTATGTTTGTGTTAAAAAAGCTACAGAGGAAAAAAAGAATCACAAGAAATGCAAAAATTACTAATTGCTCCTTAATTTTATATTTAAAAAAAAAAAAAAAAAAAAATATATATATATATATATATATATATATATATATATATATATATATATATATATATATATATATATATATATATATATATATACACTGCAAAAATAAAATAGATTTCTATCTTTTCATAGAAATACATTTTTGTAAAAATAAATGTATTCATTATTTCATGCAAAAATTTTTTTTTTTTTTTTATTTTTTTTTTCTTTACCATCATGAAGATAGTCACAGTTTATTTTTAAAAATGTTCTAAAATATAAATCTGTTCAAAACTTACTTAACACTAAACTCTTGTTGAGTAGGTTTGATTGATTTTGTTTTTTTACAGATTATTCTTTTGCAGGTTATTTAAAGCTGGAAAATATTTTTAGATTCGAAGAATTTTGGAGTAATAATTATGTTTTACTGATACAAATCCTACTAATTTACTCATAGCTGGGAGGAGAAGAGGCAGATTCATACCTTTCCCAAGAGTATTTGCATATAAGTGAATATAACGAACCCAACTGAAATTAGAATTTGGCTCTCCAATTTCCAATTCAATACCATTATTCATTACACCACCCACGCATTGAAGCTTACAGCACCTGGTATTCCTAAGCAGCCACACATCATGGTACTGACCAAACTGTGTTGCTCAACTTTGGTGATCATATGAGAACTGGTGTTTCAATGCTGATATGGCCATAAGTATCTGCTGAGCAAGGATGAGTAGAAGTACAAATAAAAGCTAAGTGCAAATTTGAAATCTAGTTAGAGTTTGGCTAATTCAAGTTTAATTCTTATTGGCAAATAACAAAATTCTATAAATTGAAAATTGACACAGATTCTTTGAGTTATAATCGAAATAAAATGATAATGGAGAAGAAAAAATATTTAAAAATAAAGCTATAATAAAAGAAAACTATATTAAAAAAAAAAATATACATATATTGCTCAATTCAATAAAGCCTAGGTACCTCCACGAGATCGCTAAAAAAAGAGCATAGCATGATGAAAAAGACGCCAAACTTGACGAAAACAAAATTTTATCGTCTAAATGTTTGTTATTATTAAGAGGAAAGGTCAAAGTATTTTTAGGGTATTTTTTTTCCATTTTTTAATCGTTCCTAGCACGTCCAAAATTTTCGTTAAAAATCTAGTTTTTTTTGAGTCAGCAAAATTGACCATTTTTTTCCATTTTAAAAAAAAAATGGAAATCTGACTTTGAAATTTTTTTAAATATCAATTATCATTTTTTCAAAACTTATTTTAAGAAAATCAGAAATTATAATGTTTATTTAAAATATTTTGAACCAAACTTAACTTAACTTTTTGTGCCAAAAAAGATGTAATTTGAAAATAAAACAAAAGCAGGTCATAAACTTTCGCGTCTCTTGACATGTGATGAATGATATATTTACAATTCCATGAGGCTAATTTGTTCTCGGAAGGAGAAAAGTGAAATAATTTACATGAACAAATTATTTACCCCATTATTTTTAACGAAAACTTTCAGCGGTCTAATTTTTTTTTTTTTTGTACTTAGCTTTCACCTTTACGTTTATGATGCTTTATGGAAATATATTGTAAAGAAATTAAAATAAAACTGTTAAGAGTGACATTAAATTTCATATTTCTTAAGAAAGGTATCTAATTAATTTATAGGTACCTTTCTTATGAAATTTTATCAGAATTGTACATAAAATACTATAATTTTATGTACATTTATTACATTCTACTGTTATTTGTATTCATTTTATTATTAATTTTGATATTTCATTTATGGAAAAATGTCGTAACTGAGATTAATATAAAAAATAAGATCATATAAATTTCATAAGATGATACTGATACTTGTAGATGCCTTCTCAGTTGAAATTGAAAAATCAAATTAACTTCTCCACACGTGTTTCAAAAAGTAAAGGCCTTAACAGCGGAGAACAATGCTTAACTCAAATAACGCAACTTAATTATATTCTGGTTGGTCTTCCATATTTTATAATTACAGCTCGATTATAAGCACAAAATTACATTTCTTAATTACTGGGATCTTCTGATTAGTCAAAATGATACAATTTACAACGCGCTAAAAAAGATCTATCTCATAAGGACACTTATGAAAAGCCGATCGGCTTTTAACTAATTTTATAATATTTTAACAACTTAAATGTAAAATCTATCATAATTAATGAAATAACAAATAATTGTATTAAAAAATTCATTTTTCATCAAAAAATTTTTTGCTTTCAGAAAATATTGTCCATATTCATAAAAACAACTAAAAGCAAATAGAAGCATTTGAAATTAAATAATATCTTTGTTTTATTGAGTTTTGTATGTTACAATTCAGAGCTGATTTTCAGGTATTGGGTATCCAATTAAAAACAAAAAAAAACATGATTTGCATTCCTCAAAGCCCTGTGCTTTTAATTATTGTAATCACTAAAACCGATGCGATTGAATTTCTAGCATTCATAAAATTAGTTATGGGGGGGTAATAAATATTTTTAAAAAAATATTTCTACCATGACTTTCATAAAAACATATTTATAATAATTTCGATCATCTGTGAATAGTTCCTGAAAGTTTCATTAACATCCGATAATTATTGCTATTTTTTGCACGATTTTTCAAATTAATGTGTGTCATACCAAAAAAACGTGCTAAAATTGTCTATATTATTTACTAGTTCCGCTGATACAAATAGAAAAAGTTTTTTTAATCAAAATTTAGAATGTTCTAAAAAGAAGGAAAATTTTTTAAAAATAATTAAAAAAAAACTTTGGTCTTTCCTCTTAATAATAACATAAGCATTTAGACAATAAAATTTTGTTTTCAGCAAGGTTGGCGTCTTTTTCATCAAGCTATGCTCTTTTTTTAGCGATTTCGTGGAGGTACCTAATAAAGCCACTAAGATACCAAAGCGTGATTGAGTGTGAGAGGATATTAAAAAAATAAAACATTAAGGAGAGAGAACAATAAAAGAACGAATTAAGACAGAAGATAATGATTGACATTGCATTTAAATTTTTCAAGGCCAAAATTGACTGGAAATCAACAAGCCAGAAGAGTGTTCCACAAACGAGAAGTGTGAGAAAGGAAACATAAATTATGGTAGAAATTAGTTACATCTAGTCATTCCAACTGCAAAATGGTGAGACCTTGTTGCCAATCTAGTAGCATGCTTAATTTCATAAAGTGTAGGCACCAAAGAGGAAAACACATAACAATTATCTTGTAAATACTTATAGGAAAGGCATAGGGAAGCTATGTTACAGCAGTGGGACTTAGTAATGTATATACTCCATTGTTATGACAATAGAGGTTATTACTCAGTTTGTATTACCATAAAAGATCTTATAAGTCAGGCCCGGTTGTTTTTTTTTGTTTTATCTGCTTAGCTTTCTTAAATTATTAAAAGTGAAAATAGCTAACCTTATAAAATTATTTTCCTTATGATAACTTCAACAGGAAGTTTAAATTTAAATTGCTTATTGAATGCTTGGTGTTACATCTAATCTTACACTGTAAAAGTCACATGCAAGAATAGAGTTTGGAATGTTATACTAGACAATGACATTTTATGAATAGCACTTTCTATATAATAACGTATTCTTTTAGTCACAGAAATACTTCACTGTAAATAGAATTTTGTTTAGTTTAATATTTCAAGAATATTAAAACAAAGAAAACCCAAAATTAAGAATTTTTTTTTAAAGTATAATGCAAAATTACTTGGCATGACTTTTTAGTGATGCAAGTAAACTCAAAGATGAAGAGACTTGAAGAAACAGAAATGTGGTTCTACAGAAAGATGCTGAGGATACCATGGACCGAACATCTGAGCAATGACTGTTTTTGCGAAAATGGAAACAATAGACAGAAACTTATGCTTAACATCAGGAAGAGGCAGTTGAAATTTCTGGGGGGCATGTAATGAGGAAGAAGGGTTTGAAAAATCTGATACTCATGTGACAGATTGAGAGAAAGTGAGACTGAGGAAAGCAGCACGTAACATAATTGATGAGCTTGAGTAAATGGATGGTAGAACAGGGCTTGGGAGAAATAACAAAAAGACAAAATTTATTAAGTGTGACAAGAGACAAGAAGATGTGGAGGGCCATGATTGCCTATGTCCTGAAGGGAAACAGCATATAAAAGAAAGAAGCTAATAATGACAACAACAACAGTGTAAATACTTAATTGCAATTAAAAAAAAAAAAACAAAAAAAAAAAACAAATAGAGCACCTCTTTGCGACTGCTCAGTCTCACATTATCTGCTGACCTAAGATGGAACAAATACATTGAGTCAATAGCTTTGTCCACTGCAAGGAAAGTTGGCTCCCTCTGCTGAACCAGGAAATCTTTCTCATCAGAGTCGATCCTTCAAATCTACAAATCAACCATTCACCCTTGCATGGAGTATTGCTGCCATATATGGTCTGGAGCCCCTTCTATTTGTCTCAAGGTTCTTGATAAAATCTACAGACGGATATGCAATGTAATTGGCCCTGATCTGGCATCTCGTCTGCAGTTGCTCTCTCACAGACATGCCATCACCTCCCTCTGTCTTTTTTTACAAATACTTTCACAGTAACTGCTTCAATGAGCCGCTTTCGCTGGTTACCAGACTTCATGAATTTAAGCGTTCAACTAGGCTAGAATCTCGCTCTCACCCTTTCATTGTTGAAACTTAAATGTAGCCATCTCTTTTACTACAATAGCTTCAGGTCTTGTACTTCTCGCCTGTGGAACTCCCTCCCCTTTTCTTGTTTCCCTGATGACTATAATTTCCAACTATTCAAATGTAATGTCAATCGACGTCTCCAGATGCTTTAATCTATCACCTATCCTCTTCACCCTTCTGCCATCACTCATCAATCAGGGCTAGCCATTAACATAAGAGGAACAGAGCAAATGAGGAACAAAGAAAAAATAATACTGGAAACAACTTTAAAGAAAATCTTGTTGCTGTCTTCAAAGATTATATAGTCTTCTCATATAATTTTTTTTCTTTTTTAATCAATTCACCCAAAGCAAAGCGTTAATGCAACTAAGACAAGGGGCTACTGGGAGTGAAAAAGACTTAAGGAACCAGAAACAATTCTAAACGGGAAACAAGTGATAAATATCTACCACTATTCAAAACAAAGGAGGAGTGTGAACGAGACGATAGGTAATCATACAATTTTTTTTTGTTTAAATTCCATGCATCTTCAGAACATAGGCGATCATAGCTCTTCACAGCTTCCTTTTTCTTTAATATGCATTAACTGCTTTGACTTTTTGGGAAATAGTAGTTCCCAATTGATTTCTCCATGATTTTGTAATCAATTTGTCCCTCTCTGAAACTGGCTACTACCAAAGGCCCAAGAACCCAGTCTATCTTACTATTTAACCAATAGCTAGGGAGAAAAGAGATGGATTCACATCATTCTCAAAAGCATTAATGCAAAACTGAATGTATCAAACTAGGAAATAACTTGAAATTGGCTTGCCAATTTCATTTTCTGTGTCACTAACATGTGTCCCAACCACATGATACTCAACAACAGAAGGAAACCAAGATGTATTTAAGAGTCCAGAGGAAAAAAAATTTTTTTTTAAATTGAGGATAGGCAATCAAACCTATGTCTTTATAATACATACCAAGTGGTTAGAATATTTGCTTTTCAACAATGAGGTCAGGGTTCAAATCTCACCATG